GTTTTTTTTTTTTTTTTTTTTTTTTTTTTTTTTTTTTTTTTTTTGTGGTATCTAGTAAAAAGTGGTTTACATTTCGGAATAGGCATTTAAAGTGAACTAACAAAAAATAGTTTGCCAGAAATGGTATTCTCTCATTTGGGAAGTTCCCCCAATTTCTTTCACATGCTATTTACAATGCTCTATATTTATTGTATGTTCAACTACCGTTGAACATAACCCTGGAAAAGGGGAGGCAGGTGGCATGCATGTTGTAGTTATCACATGGCTCTCAGTAGAACCCTGTAGCTGTGGGAGAGGGTGGTCATCTTCATCCCCACCCAAATGGCAGCAATTTAAATAGTCACTTGCCATGCCACTGTTCATCAACAGCAGAAAAGCCAAGTTAAACATTCAAGGATAGGAATGCAGGTTTTCACTCAACATTAAACAGAGCATCTCCAGGGAATTTTTGCCTGTCACTGGCCTATTTTGGAAGTCTGGTGTCAGCTGAAAAATGCTTGGTTCTTTCCTCAGAGAGCCACATTGACAGGTCTTATCTGTCCTATACATCATTAGTCTCTGACATCATTTTCTGGTAGGTGTTTCGTTAATGTTTGATTAGGCAGGGAAATAAATACAGACAAAGGGCAAAAGACAGCTGTAGTTTTCAACAAGCAGAAGCTTATGTGAATTGTGAACAGTTAGTATGTTAGACATTGGCTACAGAATATCCTGCTATCAATTTATATATGAGAAGGACTTTTACTGCAAAAAGAGCATGGAAAGCTAGAAACAAGAGCCAGCGTAAGATACTTAATTCCAGGCCAGTTCTATCAAGCTGGTTGAGTACACTACAGCTATGGAGGACCCTCTCCCACTATCTCATACCCTTGTTCCAGACAGAACTCAAGCTGTAAAATGGCCAGATAAGGGAGAGAGGAAGGAAGGGCTCTTTTCTTCTGTGAACTTGAAAATAAGCTATCCATTTTTATTTAGTAATCAATATAATCATTTTTTTGATCACTAAACTTTGTCAATAAAACAGTATTAATGTGTCTGTGTTCCAAAAGTGCAGAAAAATATTTTTAAAAAATTTATCCAATTTTAAAATACATCATCATCAATGAACTATTACAAGCAACTTGCCCTTATATAACATTTTATAGTTTTGTTTCATCGCTTGCACATACGGCATCTCATTTCATCTGCAGGGCATCTCGATGAGGTAGGTGGCATTTTCCTCATTTATAGAAGTACAAAGTAAGGCTCGGGGAGGTTAAGAAAATCCCCCAAGGTACTAGTGACAAAAGTAGCTTAGAATTCCTCCTGACCTCATTATACCCCAGCATCTCTTCATTAAAGAGCTGTGATATCTTTGAACTGACAAGCTAATTTTTAAGCCGAGGAGAGAACAACAATAACAACAAAATCTTTCATTATATAAGATTCAGATTTACAGTACCAGCTAGAAAAAAGATTTTGTTTTCTTCTCCCCATAGATGACCATGGGCAATTAGTAACCACTCATCACCTTATTTAAGGGAAGGTAAATAGCTCAAGCTAGAATGGAGAATAAGGATATATGGCTGTAGAAGAAGGAACAAATAATTAATTCCAGATAGCATTTTATGCTGTATGTCTCCCCACGGCCAGAAGGCTGCCTGGCTGGCGTGGAGGAAGCAGCATTCCACCTTGCCCTTCTGTCTGTGCTGCCTTTCAGTGCCCACTGTTTGAGAGGTCCCATCATTACTGCAGAGACTATACAAGCATTGCAAATGCCCAGTGTAAAACCAGGCTTCTTGTCTCCAAATAGCCTTGCAATGTTTACTAAAGTGGTTCTATCAAGTCTGAAAACAGAGAGAAGTTTACTATTTTTTTTGTCTACTAGTCTTCTTAGCCATGGAGAATATGAAGCCTCGCCCTAAACCAACCGACTAATTCACAGTGTGGTTACTCTTGTCAGAGACTCTGCATACACAACTGACATAATTCACAGTGTGGTTACTCTTGTTAGGAACTCTGATAGAACAAGCTGTAGCTCCTCCAAGAGTTTATAATCCAGAGGAGAGGAGAGAACAAAGAATTCCTTGTCCAGCCTGTACATGGACTTATCCTAGGAGTATGTGAAGAGAGCTGAAAGCAGCCATTTGCAAGGGGAAGTTCTAACCATGACTTAAAGAATGAGGCAGCATGGAAGAGGGTGGTCCAGGTGGAGAGATCATCCTAAGACGAGAAG